CATACAAAGCCTAGCATTCATTACAAAAGTACGGGTTAATTTGACTAGTTTGAGATAGTTTGTGTTAGATCTTTTTGTCGAAAATACCAACATTCAGAGACAAGCACTCATTACGCTACATTTGGCAACGGTGTCTCGAGATCGCCCTGTTCCTACGACTACACTCTTGTATTGCTATATCTCTAAAATATTAGGTTTTGCTGTGGGGATTGAAGCAGTTGAGGCAGAATCATAGCAATGCAAGCAGGAACATTTTGGAGCGATCCTGTTCTCAATGTGTTGCCAAGCCAAGGGTGAAGAGACCAACCATAATGGAAATCCCTATATCTCAAAAATAGTGAGTGTTGCCAGGGTGTGATTTGAAGCAGGTTGAGGCAGGACTATAGCAACACAAGCAGGAATATGTTTGAGCGATCCTGCTTCCAATGTGTTGCCAAGTCAAGGGTGAAGTTATGAACCATAATGACAATCCCTGTATCTCAAAAATAGTACGTGTTGCCAGGGTGTGATATAAAGCAGGATGAGGCAGGACCATAGCAACACAAGCAGGAACATGTTTGAGCGATCCTGCTTCTAGCGTGTTGCCAAGGGTGAAGTTAGCAACCAAAATAAAAATTGCTGTATCCCGAAAATAGTAAGTGTTGCCGGGGTAAGATTTGAAGCAGGATCATGTAGAACCATAGCAGCACAAGCAGGAACTTGTTTCAGCGATCCTGCTTCCAATGTGTTGCCAAGGGTGAAGTTAGCAACCAAAATGGAAATCCATATATTTCGAAAATGGTGGGTGATGCTGGGTTGCGGTTTGAAGCAGGGTGAAGCAGGACCATAGCACCACAAACAGGAACATGTTTTAGCAATCCTGCTTCGAATGTGCTGCTAAGTTTTCCGACATATGCGGTGTTTTCTATTTTTGAGAGCTTGTGCCAGTACGGTTTATTATAATAACGGGCTATGTTAAGTGCCTCTGCTTACCTACTCTTGATATACCTGTCCTGAAAACGGATTGTTTTTCTGTTTCCGTGTCGATGTACTCTTGCTTACCCCTGTTTTCCATATATTCTGTTAAGTGTGCTGGGTGAATGAGATGCTTCTATTTTTTTCATTTTGTATAAACGGTATAAGGAAGTTTCGCATTCTTCGGAGATTCCTGAGTCAACATTTTGCTTTATTTTTGGAGAATAACAAAGAAGCTTTCATGAAGTTTCATTTTGCTGTATAGTGTTTGATATTACTTGGTCAGTATGCTCTAGTGGTTGGCAAGTCTTCATTGTCATGAGTTTTGAAAGCCGATCGGAGTTATTATTATTATCTGATTAATTTTATGTCTATTAAATATCTGTACTCTTCTGAAGTTAGGAGTAAATTAATATTTCAAATGTGCTTAGCTTTTTTCATGTTTCCCTCTTTCCCCTTTTGTTTTTGATCTGCTCTTTTCGAGGTTCTTTCTATCTGACATTGAGAATACTCTCTGGCTGATGATTGTCAACCTCAACTGACTCTTTCTTAACACCAACAAAATATGACACAACGAATATGAGTATATACAGTTGTTTAAGGCCATAAGTTTTTTTGTTAAGTTTACTACTTTATTTGTATTTTCAGAAATCAGAAACTTTTTTGGTGGCTTAAGCAAATTACCTTTTCAGAAAAGCTATCATTGTATCATAATAAACTATACTTTAATCTTATTTTACTGACAAAGCGAAAACTTTCAACTGGCGAAAAAGTTTGTGTGTATAACCTTCAGCCGGGAGCTTTGCACGATAGGGCACACAACCGTCAGCATCTCGAATATCCTCGAGTTCCTGTGCATCATTATCTGTAAAAGGCGTAAACTCCTCAAACTGCATTTTACCAAGTTATTTTCCATCTATTCATCAAAAAATATATTTCTGAATACAGTAAGTTTCTGTGTATGAGGATTGAATAATCGATAATAAGTCGATTTCTTGTCATAACCAACAAATATAAACTTATGCGCATATGCAGTGCATCCAAAAATTTTGATGTTCTAAGGATGGTTTTTGTTCACTCCACATTCCATATGGCGTTGAATTAGGTGCTTGTGTAGTTGGTATCTACTCGGTTTAATATGTAAATAGAAGTGTTGACTGTTTCTGACCAAAGAAACTTCGGTACCCCTGAATTATACAACATGGAACGTGCAGACTCAACTATTGTTCTGTTTTCCCGTTCTGCCCTACCATTTTGTTCAGGAGCATACGGTGCGGTTAATTCATATTCGATGTTTTCTTTATTTAAATAATCCTTAAAAACATGTTTTGTATACTCTGTTCCATTGTCCATATGTAAAATCTTCACTGGATGACCAAATTTTGTCTTTATCTTAGCGGTAAATGTTCTGAAACAGTCATAAATATCTGATTTATGTTTTATGAAATATGCAACTTTATATCCTGACTTCGTCCTTGAATGTAACGAAATATCTTGCACCATGTACAGATGGTGTTGACATAGGTCCACAGACATACGTAAAAATTCTTTCGCTATCTGCTAGCTTCACATGAGGACTTGATTTTGGCTTAAAGGATAATTTTCGTTGCTTACCTAACAAACAGGCTTCACACAGAAAATTTTCAGTGTTGTTGATATTGACACCATTTACTTGTCCTTTCTTAACCATTTCTAGGATATAGTTTTTGTTTACCTGTCCTAATATTTCATGCCATAACTTTAAAGAGTGTTGCACTACAACATTTGCACTGTTTACTACAGTACGAAATAACATTTTATAGGTATTGTTATTGTCTTTAATTCCGATAGCAATAAGTTCTGAGTTTTGATATACTTTGGCTTCTCTATCTACTTTTAAAACTGTCATTCCATTATTTTTCAATATACCTTCTTGAAACAAATTTTTCTAAGGTCGAGCACATGAAGTACATTATTTATAGTGGCATAGAACCACTGCCCATTCACAAACTTCTGAATTTTGATCATTATCCTTTACCTTCAACTTTTAAATTATGATTATTTGCAAGAGATACACTAGATTTAAAGTCTCTGTTTAGAATGTCAAAATAATCTTCATGAAAAGTTATACTTATGGGCAGATGCCCTACTTGTTATAATAATCACCTTGCGAGCCACCCTGTCCATGACCATTGTTGTAATAACCACCTTGACCACGATGAATTATTTCTTTGATTCAGTTTTCCTCTATCGTTAAAGTTAAAAGTGTCTTCCTTGCACTGTCGTGAGATGTGGCCTCTTTTTCTGCAATTATAACAAACTACCTACTTTCCTGGATTTGTCTTTTCTGTTGTCTGTTTCAACAGAAAGGGCTGCAAGGCACTTTTGGCTTCTTCATAGGATGCAATGTTACTTTTTTCATTTAACAATCTTGCTGTCAAGTTACTTTATTGTTTGTTATGAACTCTCAAGTGATAACCAAGCTGATCCAACATTTCGAAATTTTTGAGGCAACGTACTTAAAATCTTTGTTGTTACTGCAACTTCACTCACATCATCACCTGCATCTTTGTTGTTGTTGAGCTACACAATGTGAGGAATTCTTGTTAGCCTCAGACTTTTGTTCAAAAATAGATTCTAATATTTGCATCGGGATTTGCGTCATGTCTATAGCAGAGTCAGAACTTACAACTAAGGTTATCTGATTGAGATTCATAGCCGGAGGTAAGAATAAACATTGCCTGGGCATATTTTCTATTCCACACATCTAATTCTAGAAGTTGCGTCTCATTTGGTTTGATTAAAGATCCATCTATGGCCCCATAGAGACCTTTGGCTCGGAGAGCACACTTCAAATGAAATTTCTATTTTCGGAAATTAGATCCATCAAATTTGTTCACTGTCACGATATCAACAGTTTTATTTGCCATTTTTGCTAGTCACTATTTGAAACACACCAACTGGATTGGAGCCACACCCTTTTTACTTTTTTTTCAAAGAAATCCAAGATCAAGCAATGACCTGGACCCATAACCTGTAAAAATATGGGGTGTTTTGATTTTTTTAATAGCACACAAATACATTAATTCATACTTTTCAAGAACTTTTATTTATTATTATATATTTCATCATGCTCAACAAAACCTAACCTCGCAATATGTGTAATATCCTTTTCTAACAGATGACAAACCTGTCATATTTAACATTACCGATATTACAGTGATCTACGTATGGATTAAATATAATTACAGAATACTTGAAACGATAACATAACATTGAAGGTACATTCAAAAAGTGAACAAGTATACAGTCGTGAGCATTAAAAATGGGACACCCGATTTTTTCTATTGTAAAACGGGCTCACCAGCTACACCGTCGGTAATGACAGGGATTGTCACGTTTGACAAAAAATCCGTTGTAAAGAAAATACTGATTTACCCCAAAATAGTGAAAATGTCAAGACCTGTTAGTCGGGTGTCCCACTTTCAATGCTCACGACTGTACATATTATAAAATGGAAATCAACAATACAAAACTATTTCTATTATAACAGTATTACTTCCCATCACCTCCACTTGCGTCGAGTTGATTATAACCGTCAGTATTGTTTATTACCACACCGTCCATACATAGACTGCAGTTTCACAGGCTCCGCCCAAAACTTTTTATATAAATCAGAACACCATTCTGTTCCGAAGTATAGGGTTATCTATAATTTCTTTCAAGTGTTTTGTGTGTTGGATGGATACTCTGGGTTTTTGTAATTTTTTTTTTTCGATATTAATCGTTATCTGTTTTCGTTTGTCGTCTTCTGCATACTGGCACTGGCCTATCATGTTATCACCATTATTTTCTCTTTATTGTAATACGCTATACTTATATTACTTCTAACATTACGTCAGTAGATGCACCTCATCCCAATTCTGAACACCTATCAGTGTTATAACTACCAGAATTATGACTAGCAGGAAACTTTCGGCGTAATCATTTTTTTTACATGTACATAGACTTTTAAACTATTATCTAAAAACAATAATAATATAAATATTCTTGTTCTCTTTTTCCAGATATTTCAACGATGACACATCAGCAGCTATTAACTCCCAAAGTTGAGGTTACGGAAACATTTGAGGCTAACTCTGAAGCAACAAGCAATAATCCCACACCTGAATCCAGCCGAATAAGCACCCCTGAAAGTGTTCTCAACAATAATAACAATTTGAGTACACCTTCGACAAGTACAAATACCATGAGCGCGCCTCCTGCAAGATCCACCAAGCAGAGGCGTATCAGACGTAGGGTGGCATCACAGAGCCAAGACCCCGCAGAACAACTAACGGAAATGTCTGTAAGAGGACTCAATTTATTTCGTTACGCCTCAATAAATGACGGCATCTATCAATGTACCGAGTGTGCAAAAATGGACATCACGAAAACGTTTAAAAATAAATATAGCTTCCAAAGGCATGCCTTTTTGTACCACGAGGGGCATCAAAGGAAAGTTTTTCCGTGTCCAGTATGCTCGAAAGAATTTTCGAGGCCCGACAAAATGAAAAATCACATGAAAACAGTACACGATTGTTTTATGCCCAAAGACGTTGTTAGCGATGTCATATTTCCTCCAGCGCCTATGGGGTTTTACCCAACAATTTAGGCTGAAAAATAATTTGAAGTTGGTGCTATTGTAGTTTTGAAGCTTGGAACAGCCAGTACAAATTTAATATGCTTCAAAACTATTAAAAGAAAAAAAATGAATAAAATTCAATAATGAAAGTACAACTCTAGAACTATGTAGTTTAGGTAATGTGTGATTAACCAGGCAAAATCTGGTTAAAAATAACTTTGGTTTAAATAGATTTTAGTATTTTTATAGATCTTTATATTGCCGGAAAGTCAGTCAACAATATTTTTTTCAATAGGGCAGTGTGTCCCCAAGAAAAAAAATATTATTCTCAGAATTTTTTATTTTGTTTTCAGAAATCTATTTTTTATTTATGCATTTGACATTCTTGAGTATTGAAAATTTGGTTAAAATATAGGTATATACACACTTTAAGGGTTCATTATGTGATTTTGTTTTAAAATTTTTGAATCGATCCAAGTGCCTTTTTTCACATTTTAGGTTTAGAAAAAGATAGTTTTTATGTTTAATAACATTTGGGTTTTTTTAAGGATAGTGTTTATATTGATTTCAGAAATAATTTTTATGTATTACGGACTGCACAGACTGGAGACAATAATCACCTTATAACATTAATAATTATTACTTTTTTCGGCCCCATAACGCACAAATTAATTCGCGTTAAAAATATATTTTAAGTTACATGGTTTTTAAATGTTTAACAAATAATATCATAGGTGTTGGGAGAAAAGAAATAACTTTAATTTTGTTTTTTTTTTTCATGTAATTATAGAATGTTATTTATTTTATTTGCTCTAAGCTTTTGTTTTTTTTTTCTGTTGATTAATTCTACATTTTTTAGAGTTTAGGCTTTTTAACAATTTATTAGTGGGTTTTCAATATTTTTATTTGGATTTTTAAGCTTCAAGGCTTTTTATAATACATTTTTTATAGCTGATACCTCATAATATCTAGCCATCTAGGTTTAGGAAGGGTAAGTCTGTCAATGTCGATGAATTTATACATACAGGGTGTCCCAAAAAGATACCGACAAACTTTAAGGGGTAGTAGGGGACATCAAAACAAGCATTTTTGTTTATATAAACATATTTCCGCAAATGAGCCATTTGGGCTGTAGAGCAAAAAAACTGTTTGGTATCTTGCTGTTTTATTCTTCGCAATAATTAAATCACTGTTTACTTATTAATTTTGCTTTAATAGCAAATAAATTATGGTTTACAATAATTGTTCAACTCTCGAACTCTTTGGAACATTCCGGGAATAGCTTCTACTTGGGTACAACTCGCCAGTTTCCTTGCTATCAGATCTTCCTCATTACGAACAGGTGTTTCGTAGACTAAACTTTTCAGTCAATGACCCGACGGTGTAATCTTTACATTGAAGTAAATGGTCAACATTTTGAACAATTATTCTAAACCATAATTTATTTGATAATAAAGCAAAATTAAGTAAACAGTAATTTAATTATTGTGAAGAATAAGAGTATCTAACAGTTTTTTTGCTCTACAGCCCAAATGGCTCATTTGCGGACATATGTTTATATAAACAAAAATGCTTGTTTTGATGTCCCCTACTACCCCTCAAAGTTTGTCGGTATCTTTTTGGGACACCCTGTATACCGTAAGAGCTGAATAAATATTAAATATTTGTGACTTATTTTATTCATTCATTTAATTGATTTTGCTTAAATTAAATTGTCTGGAAAAAATTATCCGAGAAATGCAACTAAGATGAGAGCCAAGTTGTTTTTCTCATTTGATTTTTATACATATTTTCAATTTACTTTCTATTAATATTAGGTCCCTTTTTTCAAATGGGCTAGAGAAAATGACACTTGAAACATTGCGCGTTGCTTTCGTAAATTTCAAATCTTTTATTATATATTGAAGGTTTTCTATCGTGTTAATAACCTGACAAGACTATTTATACACAATATGTTGTTTTAAATTATTAAGACACAAACCAATTTATTTAGACTGATCTAAAAAATCACACAAAATAATGAATACTGGACAATATAAGCTTGACTATACATTTAATATCCAATCTATGTGCCTTGAAAGCGAAAAACAATAATTGTGATCTTTAACGTAATATGTGCAAATTGTACAGAAAATAATATAGGTTTTGTAATTTGATTGATAACAAATCTTTTTTTAAGTTGTGGCTGTTGCCCAATTATTCTTGTCTCGCAGATATGAATCTAATAAATTCTCCATTTTGCAGCTGATTCAATATAGTCTATTTCAAAAATTAATGCACATCAGAAGAACGAAAATCTTCGGGAGGAAATTTAAATATTTCATCCATCAATAAGTATACCAGAGATTGATGAGGATACAAGTTTTCCTAAAAAAGATCACAACACGCCTCTTCAATTTTTCCAAAGTCTCTAGTGTACCTACTCCGAGTTCATAATGTTTATTTTAATGTATTTCATTTATTTGACATTTTATTTTGCTGTTTGATTTGATCACTTTTTTGTAATTACATTTTTCATCTCAGAGTTTATTTGAAGATAAAAGAATAATTGACCAATTTTCGCCTGTGTAGGTAGGTACATATTGAATCAGCTGCTATGCCTATTGAAAAACGTAACATAATAATCTTATCAGATTTGTTTTTAGATATAAAATATCTATTTTTTGGCAATAGCTAGTTTACATTTTTCATTGTGTGATAGTTTTTTTTTTCTTTTTTTCTTTAGTTTAACATTTTGTTAGGCCGTGGCCAGTTTTTTTTTATCAACGTTCTTCCAATAATGTCGCGGTCAGAAAAACGTTGTTTTTTTTTTTTGGAAAAAAATATGATCGCGACTTTTTCTTTTAAGTTTTAAGAATGAATATTTTTAGTGCAATTAATATAGTGTTACGATTTATTACTAATTTGTTAGATTTATCATAAAAGGTTAAACAAAACTAATGACGTTGTTTTGCATAATATTTTATTTTATAAAATTTGATTTTTATTCTTTTTGGTAATTATTAAGAAGAGCTTTAAAAATTTAATTTCATAGGTACTTTTTTATTTTCAATGGGATTATATTATAATTTCACATTTTTTTTTTGTATATGAATAATAATGCTTTAATAATTATTTTTATTATTATTATATTTAATTTTTAAGTTTGTAGCTGAATGGTGCAAAGATTGTAATATAGTAACTTGAATAACCCCCTCTTGTAGGTATACGTTTAAAAGAATTATATATAGTTTAGTGAGCAGATAATAATTATTTGATTGTTTAAAATTATGTAATATTTCCTCTATTAATAAATAATCTACCTCTAATAACAAGTTTTATTTATCCTAATCATTACTATTATTTTACATAATTTATTGTATTATTGAGGTAGGTACCTACCGGTCTTTATTTCTTACCTGTATGTACACTTAATCCTCTCATAGGTATAATATGTACCTATATATGTACGAGCCACAAATATGAAAGTTGTTTGCCTCATGCCAATTACAGCATATACCAGAAAAATGTCGAAAACCGCGAAAATACGGATTTTTTTTTTTTAAATTCAATTTCAATGAAACCTTTCGGTGGAGAAGGGGTGTTTATAAACTTTATATTATAAAGGAATTATTCTTACTTTAGTTTTTCATGGTTTTATCGGAAAAAAAGCTGGAAATTATTAACTCCATTTTCAATATTCTTTTTATTTGTAAATCTGAAACTTAATACAACATTTTAAACATGTAAGCATAAATGAAAACAAACTAACCCAAACAGCTGCATCTGTAATCAATAGGTTTTTTCTTCATCATCGTCGTCCTCATGTAGTATCTGTCAAGTTTACTAGCTCTGGCTCATCTCAATCTTCAAACTCATCTGGATGATCGCTTTCTATAACATCGGTTAGTTCGGACGGCCACGGATCCTCCTTAATCCAATATATCTATCTATCTTGTCCATTTTCCAATTTCCAGCCATGTCCCACTGGACTTGATGTTTTGATGGGTCTAGCAACTAGGGCATTATTCCACTGGTAGTTTAGACGACTGATGTGGTTTTGAAGTAAAGTTTTGCAAGGACGTAGAAGACTCAATTCAATACCTTGTGTATTTGGCAATGCAGAGGTCACTGTGAGAGAATATTTTTGTGTGAACAAATCGTACCGGAGCTTATTTATATATAGGATTTTCACGCTATATTTAGGATGACGTTGCATTTAGTAAATTTCTGCTGCAAATCTAACAAAACTAAAAGTACTTCTTAACGCATTTAAAGTAGGGGAATTTCAGATGTTTCTGGTTGGCAACGGCGCGCGATGTTGCATGATTTAAATGAACATTTTCAAATAAATAACGAATGTCGATTCATTTCGTTATTTTTAGCTGTTTCATTATGACATTCAGGTAGATTATAAGAAAACAAATAGGCATTGACAACATTGTCAGTCATTGTTCTCTGACGTCATCCTAAATATAACTCAAAAACCTATATGTGTACCCTTTATCACTGTACAGGGTTATCCAACGAAAGTGCTCTTTACCTTATATAGGTAGGTACCTGTTAATTGAAGAGGTACAAAAAAATGTTAAATATAAAAGTTGTTGGGATTTTTATGAGGAATTAGGAGCAATTATTTTAAGAAAAATGGAAAGGCGGGTTTTGAAAATATAGCAAGAAATTTAACATTGCTTCCTTAATTCCTTAATTTAAATGGAATGATCCATTTTAGAATATGTTTTTGGATTCCACATCAAATTTGAGCCCTGATATATGTTACATGTTCTATAGTTAAATGTAGCAATTTTGGAGATCTCCCTAATCAATGATTTTTCAAAATAAATTACGAAAAAAATTATATTTCATCGTTGGAAGCTGGCAAGAGTGGTAGGTTCCCGTCTAGTTTTGCTTATTACTATTGTTTTTAATTATTATCGAAAATGTGTCCAATATTAGATCAAATAGCTAAATTTTGCTTTAATCCAGCCTCATCTGGTTCACCTTTTACCAAGGTAAATTACGTAAAAGCTAAATTAGGTGAAGCTGGATTTAAGCAAAATTTTGCATATTTCATCTAATATTGGACAAATTTTCAATATAATGATTATAAACAATAGTGAAAAGCAAGACTAGACGGGAACTTACCACTCTTACCAGCTTCCAACGATGAAATATAATTGTTTTCGTAATTTATATTGAAAAATCATTGATTAGCGATATCTTCAAAATTGTTGAATTTAATTATAGGACATGTAACATATATCAGGGCTAAAATTTCATGTAGAATCCAAAAACATATTCAAAAATGGGTTATTCCATTTAAATTAAGCAAGAGATGTTAAATTTTTTGCTGTATCTTCTAAACCCGCCTTTCCATTCTTTTTAAAATAAATGCTCCTAATTCCTCATAAAAATCCCAACTTTTATATTTAACATTTTTTTGTACCTCTTCAATTAACAGGTATATAAGGTAAAAAGCACTTTCGTTGGATAACCCTGTACATACAAGTAACAGACTAATTCCTCTAGGTCTATCACTAACTTATCTGTAATTGTTAGTGATGATCCTAATGACCTAAGGATACGTACAAATTTGAAACATTTCTCTAATTTGGTTTCACCGACAACTTTCCACGACGAACAAAAAAACTGGAAGTGTCACGTCCGGATAATGCCTATTCAACATAGCATGGCTCTTGGCTACACCTAAATCCGCAGAAATATTGATGACAATAATGACCCTTCGTTTATGTCCAGCTCACCATGTCATGTCACCTGTATCAAACAGTAACACATTTTCAATTTCGTGGACGTACCTTAACAGCAACATAAAAACATCTGTCTGGTGACCTTATTCTGATAGGCAAATTATCTCGACGAGACTGAGCAGCAGCCAGCAAGGAAGCAATGTAGAATAATTTTAGTGTCTACTTCCTCTTGTGAAGAGCATATATCTCTTCTTGAACAGTATAATTTACAGTTGAACCATCTTCGCTAGTAAACAACATGCACTAGTCATTGTGTGATAAAGTAAACGTTTTTACCATGAAAATAATGGGCATATTTGTCATGTTTCCATTCATTATGTAGAAGGTTGACAAGTTGTTCTTTGTTTTTGCCATTACTGAGAAATTTCTTCCAATCATGGGGAATCTTGGGACCTTTTATGAGGAATGTATCTCCACAACCCCTACGCAGTCTTTCCATGTTTTTAATAGATACTTCTGCAGCTGTCACGAAATCTATCCTTATGCTTTTTGAGAAGCGGCTTAATATTATCTCAGCTAGATTACCAAAGTTTATGAGAGCCTGAAAGTAAGCCATGTCATCAATCATATAAATGCATGTTAGGAGGGTTATTC